TGACCAAAGGTTGTGTGTCGTGGCTAAAGAACTGCGGGTCGTGGCTAAAGCATTGCGGGTTTTGGCTAAAGGAATGTAGGTCAAGGCTAAAGGAATGTGGATTTTGGCTAAAGCATTTCGTGTTTTGGCTAAAGCTTGATGGGAAAAGGTGTATAGAAGCAGTTTTATAAAAGGCCGTAAGCCACCAAAGGAATCAACTTTCAAAATATACGTCCATTTCCTCCGATTAATTAGTCTCTAATTTAGGCATGTTACCAGTCACATAACCATGGTTAGTCTATCAAAATAATTATTTAATAAAATCAAGGAAGGGTGAGAATGAACTTTGATAATCAACGTTGCACAAGAACACTTTCGGCTGACTGCTTACACACACACGCACACACACACACACACACACACAGAGACCAATGCCACACGCGTCACAATGGTCGGTGCTTCAGAATACGTTATCAGCTTTAAAATGTACGCGTGGACTTGAAGCGGGGGTTTCAANAAGTCAGCTAAGCGCATTGCAAATCAGAGGTGTTACCGAAGAGACCAGTTTAGTTCTCCAATTCCGCGCTTATTCGACCGGATAACGTTAGTTTCGCTTTGTGTGTACAAACAGTGCCGACATTGCTGCTTCATACGTTTAGCTTTGTACTCCCGCATGACTCTAGCAAATAGGAACAGTTTACCATTTAACATGGCGTAATTGATAATACGGGTTTTACGTTCCATATTTGATTCATTAAGGCTGTGTTTTATCGGAATTGAAGACGTTACAGATTACAGATCACAAATCATTGACACAACGAAAGCACAGAATCACACTAGCAATTGTACACTGGAATCTCCCATCACCGAGACGTCTTGCTGTCGAGCAATCCATATTTATGGTCCATGGCTCAATGTCTGGAAACTGGAACACGTAGGTACTGGACTCGCCACAATTTTCTGAGAAGTCAAACACAATTTCAAGGTTATTTAGGTGAAACAGGTGCGAATGTGTGCCGGTACTACTACCCCCGGTTTGAGGTAGATTGTAAGAATCTTTCTATAAATGAATATTCTCCTTGCCTGTTTGACTAATTTCAGATCGTAATTTTTTTTACGTTATGCGGGTAAATAGTGGATACATGAAAGACAATGATGGTTTTGCAAACTACTCAGGAGAAATAATGAATAAATTGGTATTCAGGTCAATTACGCAATTCTGGTCTGTATGGTTTATCGTCTAAAAAGAGATCGGGGAGAAAGATGTGATGAGGAGAATAACAGTGGGGGAATAACTGACGTGTGTAACCAAGCTCGGACAGCGGAATTAAAAAGACCGTTTCACGATCAATGTGTATCACCATCACCAAAGTCGATTTGATTAACATGAACATTTTCAGTTGACATATTGCATTCTTCTCTCAGTAAAGTGGGAAGAAATGTCATCGTAATCTGGACCAGGATGTGTTAGATTCCCCCGTTTAATCTACCTTTCAGACGGGTACAGATGAACGCATGACCTGATGGCGCACATGACTCTAATTGTGCCAATGCATTTTTGCATCGTTTAGCTAGGTCAAATAGCTTTGTTCGAACCAATCAGTGATTTAATCGGATTTGGGTGGTCCAGAGACTGTCGCGTAATAGAAGTACTTTATAGATCAGATCAAAAGACGCCAGTAGTTCTGTTCTGGTTATCGTAAGTCACGGAAACAGGTGGGAAATACTCAACCCCCATAGATTTGATGGTTGAATTTGCGCTGAAAGAATTCTCACGTATTAGGAAACAACAATTTCCAGACTCGAAGCTCTACCTGTTTGTTCTGTCGGGAAATGGAACCATTCTATTTACGGGAATTGTGTTCTATCGGTTCAACTTGTACCCATGATGTCACATGAAGCCGATTGGGAAATGGCTACCACCAACGACCATTTGAAGCATCTACTTTTCGTATAAAAGTTTGTTTTCCAGCAAGAGAGATAATTCTGGTCGAACGTTCTTGATTTCAGCAAATACAATGCTTCTAATTCATGTATCGTCCAATTTCCTTGTGTGTTTTCTGTTCCTCGTTCAACTGGATCTGGCTGCACAGCGAGTGATCAATGAGGATGATCTGGAACCGATCAAAGATGAAACAAAGTATAAAATTACCGGTGATCATCCATTGTTCCCGAACAATATACCAAAGCCCACCACTACATCGAAGAGTCCGGATCCAAAACCGAATACGCAGACACCGAGTCTCTCAACGAGTCTGCCACCAAGTCTGCCACTGAGACTGCCACCCAGTCGGCCAACAAAATGGTTACTGGAGAACATGGAACAGATTGTCAAAACAGTACCAAACAATCTCTTCATCATCACGGTACAATCTGTTGTTCGGGATGATTATCAAGGCATTCGGTTGACACGTATTGAACCAGAAGGATATACTTGGTGGAGCTCGACATTGTATACTCCTCNGCACTTTCAACCCGGGAGACCACCTACTTTTGCTCTCTCCGAAACCATGTGCAATCCATGAGGAAGACAATAAATTGGACCTCAGTGAATTACCTGAAAACACTGTGGTTGCACCGCTGGAACAGGTCAAGGATACAATTGAAGAAGTACACACACAATGGGTACAGGCTGAAAGACCTACGAATACGGATCACCTGGGAAATCGTTTGGAGTGGTTGAATTACGTGATTAAGTCAGAGCTGAAATAAGGGGAAGTGTAGATTGCCTGAATAAAACGTTTTCCCCGATTCTTTGAAGTGTTCCCCTACCGGTCAAGTGGGCAAATCCTCTCCATTCGTTGGCTGACTGTTTGCGGAGAACGCGTTATTTTACTAACGATCATATGTGTTCTCAATAAATATATAATAAAAAATTGACTGAATTCTGGTGACGCTTACCGCATTTACATTCGATTTGATAAAGCACTATCATTGGGTTTGGATGATTACATAAATGTCAAACAAACACTTTCGTGATTTCTATGCCAGTTGAGAACTGATTCGAAGTCAATGTTCTTCATTTTAGCCATTCATCCATAAGTGAACTATCGTACGGTAGGTACTCTCTTGTCCGGATGGCTGCGTTTGGTGGTTTCTACGATAAATACGGGCTATAATAAAGTAGTAAAGTATAGTATATTAGTATAAAGTACATTAGCCTCGAACAATTGGCACTTTTCTGTTGCCCCGTGTTTCGTTCCCGTTCTCCATGTGGGTAAAAGGTTTTCAGTCCCGTGAGAGCATTGATTTTCGGTCTTGAATGCAGGTTTTCGCAACGAATTCTTCTCCGGACGAATGTTCAGCTACGTGGATTCAAAGCACTGTGATCGAACTTGTGTTATCAACTGGGTCCGTGTATATCTAGCACGAGGATTCTCGATGGGTAAGAGGACTATCCATATATGGCACACGGAGTTGTGTGTGGTGTGTGAGTGTTCAACTTATCGGAATAAACTTTCCGTTGCTATTGAAATGAAAACCGGTGAAATTCAGCGGTACAAGTCGGAGAATTCCGATAAAAACAGTGAAAATTCCCTAAGGGATTCTCTGGTAACTCATCTTATAAATTGTATAGATAAGATATATGGATGAGCTTGACGGTAGATTTCAACAGTTTAGGTCATGAATGTTTTCATTTAGGGGCGATTTATGATTTTGTCAGACATTACTGTTGGTGATTTCATCGCGTGTTCTCGAGAAACTTTTGGTGGATGAAAGACAGACATTTGAGGATTACGTTCAGTCGATTTTGCAAAAACAAGTGGAACGTAAGCATGTCCTTCTTATAAAACGCCTGAATCCCTCAAAACCAACGAGTGAGTTCCCAACAAATCCAGATAGATTCGTCCACATTTTTTCTGATGTAAGCCTAGACAAAACGTTGATAGAAGTATTTGTGATAATCGCAATCGTAATA